ATCCCAACAAACAACATTCAAGTGTGTCATCTGTAGCTGAGCAGTGGGTTTCAGGGTCATTCTAACAGAGGTGCAAGGACCATATTGGCTGTCACAGATTTTTCCTCTACATTTCTCCTTCTTGGAAAAGACAATATGGAATTATGAAGCTTGCTCCAAAGAAGTAAAAATAAATAAAACTATGAGCAGATCCAACCATGGAGGTACATTGATTCCTCTATTGTGATGGACAGATGGGCCTTTTCCTTTCCCTTCCAAAGTGTCCAGAGCCAATCACAGGTTGCCAGACGGAGAACTGCGAGAGGCGAGTGAACACCCATCGATGGGATGAGAAGGGGAACCATCTAGAGACAGAATCAGTGGTACAAGCTGGAAGGGAATGCTGGATAGAAAAGCTGTCTCAGTCTGCAGTTGAAAAAGTAGCTGAGCGTATCACCTTTTTTCATCTGTAGAAATAGGCTTGTTGGGCTTTACTGTTAATTCTTGGAGTGATCATGGGTGATGAAGGAAAGGCACCTGCGCATCTTTAGGACCCATCAAGGTGGAGAAGGTGACAGTGAGGGAAAGTATTCCCCTCATTACTTTAGTTAGTCTTTTGGGGCTGAAGGCTTGCGGAGAGAGGGCTGTGCCCTGGGCAACTGCTGGTATCTCTGGGAGGCTGGAAGAAGGAGCCAGAGAGTAAGATGCTAAGAATCTACCGTGGGTCCTGGGCAAGGGACAAGCAGGCTACTTGAGTGAAGTGGATTGACCTGGGTGAGGGACCCGAGTACAAGAGTCCACAGCTTGAGCAGGAAGGATGTATTTATAAAAGATGACTGTGGTTAAACCACAAGGCCTGCTGCTAAGCCTTTCCACAAGGTGGGACTGCAAGGTATGTCACATACCTATTACCTATCTGCATTCACATGGGATCATAGTGGATCTTGCAGGCAACATCTTCTTATATTGCAAAATCAAAAGCAAACTGGGTATGTGTGCAAGTAACCCCAGGGAACACTGAATGCAGGTTTCCCTAGAATAATTTGGGTTCTGCATAGGAAAGCAGATCCCTGGTACCATTACATAGACCAGCATGTGGCATGGCTGAAGTGAGACCAGTGCAGGAGGCTATGACTTGGTTTGTACATAACAGTGGCAAACAATGGATTAATTCAACATGTGACCTGACTGGCCTGTTCATAGCTTGTTCCATGACATGTCAATCTGGGCATCATGGACTATTATAGGTTCACCCACTCAAATTTAATGTGTGATTGGTTCTTAGGATTTGGATTGTTTAAGCCACAAATAACCCCTGGTACTTGGGTTCACAGAGCAAACTATGATTGGCTGAATGGAATTACTACTCAAAATGGTAGTGGCATGTAATCCTACAAATTATGGGTTTATTAACCTATGATTTGGCACTATTACATAATGGGCCTTACAGCAGCCCATTAGTGATTTAAGTGGCATGCTGAAATATTATTTCTGAATTTTGGAATAAGAGGCACAGGTAAAACAGAAAGTGTACAAGCAGTCCATTATTGGATTTATTTTATGCAATGGCTGCTCTTCAGCCCAAACTCTTACAGTAACTTACAAATTAAAATAATAGAGAACCCAGGTTGTGCCAAAACAGAAATCTCACTAACACTACAAGCTGCAGCAGAGCAGAATAAAATTCCAGTTGTGATTAGCACAAATGAAACCTGAGGTGCTTGCAGATGGAGTGCTCTTATATACAGATATTTTTTCCCAAGTTTTCTAGCAAGGAAAAAAGAAATATTATTGCTGTAATTGTGCTTTTCATGCATCAGTGTTATACTATTACTGCATTTTTATTATTGCTCATAATTGTTTTAATTGATTATTTTTCTATGATAGTAAGCCATCTCGTGTCATTTTTTTGGCAGAGAGGTGGGTAGAAATCAAATCAATCAAACAATATGGAAGAAAGAGTGAGAAGGGCCAACTCAAAAACTACAATGCTTATAAAATTCTGTGGCTGAAGCAGGGAAATTGTAGGATAAAAACATTATTGGAAGGCAGGCAAGTGTAACTCCCCACAAAATCCAGCCACCCATCCAATCTCTCTGTGAAACACTGATGTACAGATTTGTATTAAAGCCATTTTGTCTGGGCTTTATGGATTATCAGGAGGCTTCGGTTCTATCAACTGCTTGCTGGTGTGGTCAGTTTTTGGTTTTTTGTTCAGGGATGTATGAAAATTCCATTCTTTTTGCATACATGTGCATTGACACAAATGGACATTAACATTAAGATGCATTAGCACAAGAGAATACTTCTGCTAATGCATATTGCATCTAACACTTACGAATTTGTGCAAATCTACCTTCCCAAATTAAAAAAACTATCTTGCAAGTCTGTGGAATCTGCATAACACTGTAGACTCTGTAGTTGAAATCTGAACTGATCTGAACCTGTTGTGGATTTCTCCAACAATCCTTCCATGAAAGGAGAATTCTAGATTATGCTCAGAGAATGCAAAGAAGAAATAGGTGATACTGAAAGCTGACTTGGAAAAGGTTGGCTCAAATGCCAACTTCAGGAAAGAACAGGAGAATAATATTTAGGCCAGGCAGCACGTTGTCTTGAATTTATTCTCTGAATTATTGTAAAAGGTTTTTGCTCACTGAGACAGGGTAGGGGAGAGAAAATTGCAGTAGCTACTGAACCAGATCTGCTGGGCTGCCTGAGGTCAAGTTGTATCTTTAATGTATTTGAGGAAGCCAGAAGGTGCTTTTAAGCCTTAGGCATGCAACAAATCACCACAACAAAAGCAGTATTTGGTCCATTTCAAATTCCTTCAAAGTGTGGCAGAAAATCTTGCTTTACAAGAGATCAGTCAACTAGATGGCTAAGCAAAACTATAACACAAGCTGAGACAGGTCAAAATTACATGCTAATTAAGAAAGTCGCCTAATATCAACATGCTTGGTGAACATGACTTAAGAGTGGGTGTTTTCTTCTCCAGTTCTGGTCCTCTAGGTGGCCAGTTAGAGGCCAGTGCCTTCATATGAAAGTTGTTCCTCACTCATATATAAATAAGTGCTCAGGGCACATCACCTGCTACAACAAATGAACAGGCCTTGTGTAGCCACAGTGGTTGACTGCATCTTTTCTGCAATGTTTAGAGGAAATTCACGGTTGAACATAGACGGTAAGCATGGCCTCCAGGCCCTCAGTTGTTTCCAGGTCCCAGAATTTGTTTACAATGCATTTGCAAACACACAAGAGTGTCCTTCAAAAGCCACAGCAAATACACAGAATGCTGGAACTTGCCTTTGGCTGCAAAGTGTGATGCCATCAGCTGCCTCCCGTCACCTCTGCATCAAGCACTGAGGTTGCAACTCAGGAGACACAAGGCAGCTCTACAGATGGAGCTCCTCCAAACATTCATGATATCAGGAAAAACCCTCACTGGTACAAAGCTCCATTTATACCTGAAAACTCCCCCAAGGGCATTGTGGTCCCGGGACTGAGTCATATATGTGCAACCCTATTTTGAATGCTATGTGCCAGAGTGATCAGGAATATTTTGGTTGCACAATAAAAGCTGAAGCAGGTAATATTTTTGGGCATAGAAAATTCCTGCTGATGAACAATTTCCCCAGCCCTGCTCCATTCTGATGAATAGATGGATCAGGGCCACTGTCTTGCAAATCACCATGTCCTGCTTCTATGCCACATCTTTTGCCACAAGGTCAGACATGGAGCCTTCATAACAAGATGCTAGTGAGTAAAACATTACAGCAAAGAGGAGGCTCATGCACTATGGACATGCATGGAAGTACTACCAAATACAGCAAAGAGGGGGAAATTCACCACCATGGGCCAGATTGAGTCACAGCTATAAACAGGCTTGGAATGCTTAGCTGAATTTCCAAGGTCAATGAGCCGCAAGATATGCCAAGTGGCTGGTGAGAAGGAGACCACCTCTAGTTCAGGGGAAAACACAGTGGTATGAGAATGGTTGGTTCAACCCCAGATCAAACAAGTGGACCAATTAAGAAATGTCAGATGTTCCCTTGTGTCTGGCCCACAAGAAGCACAAACTACCTTGAACGTGGAGCCAACTCTGTTTGTGGGGAAAGAAGTGGGGTGGAATTCAGTCTGGAGTCAACTTCTGGCTTGGCAGAATCAATGGCCACAAGTAGAAGATGCATTACCTTGAGAGATACCTTTTGCAAACGACCTTTATATTATTTCCTCTGTATTATGAAGCCAGTCTCGGCTTTGCTTTAATCTAATAAAGAATTGTAATTAGAAGCCTCTCATCTTGATCTACTGGGGAGAGGAAAGGAGAGAGGTTGGAGGAGAGAGATACCAGCTTGTGATAAATCCAACATCCTCCAGATGTGCTGGTCTGCAATTCGCATAATTCTCAGGCAACATGGAGGCCAACACATCTGGAGAAAGCTGTTCTATAGATTGTCCATATTAATTATCTTCAATATTCCTGTAACTGCTCACACTGAACATATCTACAAGAGCGATTTGCATACCCTTTGAGCACTTGCACATGTACAGAGGGCTTATCTTTTATTCAATCTCCGCAGTGTTAAGTAGGACTAATATTCAATTGTTAATATTACACCTCACAAAGTGTGAAAGAAAGAAAGAAAGAAAGAAAGAAAGAAAGAAAGAGCGAGCGAGCGAGCGAGCGAGCGAGCTAGTGAGCCAGCGAACTTTAAAGGCACATTCAGGATACATTCTCCCAGTTTATTTTTAACTGTTGTCCCCTTTTTCCATACTGTGCTTCAAGAAAATAGAAGAAAATTTTGTCAATGGAGATTGAAAAGTCATCTCTTCGGACCCAGTGAGAGCCTAGGCAGGGCTGCCACTACAGAAGCTCAGTCTTCCTCAGCCTGGAGCTTTCCAGATGGGCTGGACTACATCCCTCTGCTGGCACCAGGTTGGAGAAGGTTGCCATCGTAACTGCTCCTGCCTCAATGACAGTGAAGCTCTTCCTAATAAAAGCATATAGCAGGACTTACCCATTTTGAAAATGTTGTTCAAGATTACAGCGTTGCACAACCTCAGAGCAGTGTTCTGTGAAAGGGCAGCTAACCATTAGCTTATCCAGGAGTTTATTGACTAGCAGGCTGGATTTTCTGCAAGCCTGTAGGATCAGAGTTTTGCGATCGACTGGGCAGAAGTCTTTTTCCACAAGGAAATCGGTAAGGCACACGGTGCAATAAGTGTGTCCACAAGGTGTATCCAGAGGCTGAAGCAATGGCTGCAAGCAGATATGGCAGATAAGATCATCATCCACATCTTCTGTGTAGCTATAGACGTGGTTTTCCTCTGGAAGATGTGGCTGGCCGCAAACCAAGCAGAAAGGAATAGTGTCTCCGTCCACTTCTTCAGGTGGATCTTTTTGACTCATTGTTGTCACCGAAGAGGCAAGGAATGTTTACTCTCTATCTGAAATATCGCCAGGAGTTTCCGAGGGTCTTCAAACCTGCAGGGAAACACCACATGATCAAATCCACTTGAGCTGAAGCAACATTTATGATGGGTAATTTTTATGATACAGCACACAACCATCCAACTTTATTGTACAGGCCGATAGGTCACAACACTAAGAAAATATGGCAAAAACTTGAGTCATTAACCCGGGTTTACCAGACCAATGAACCTTAACAGACGCAAAATAAGAAAAAGCTTTTCAACCCAGGTCCCTAGTGCAAACCAAATCCTCTTCAACAAAACGTTTCCAAAATCCAGGTGCAAACATCTGTAAATGCTATGTTCCTTTCAAGTGAAAGCCAAGCTTCTCTGAAAGCACCAACAATTTCTCTCTTGAGGAATTATACAGCGGGCATGACAGAAGAGCGAAGTGTAGTCCGTAAAATGCCAGACATTCATTAATAGTCTGCATCCTGAAAGTATAAATTTACTCTTAAAATTTAAAGTAAATGTACTCTTCCTATGGATATAAGAATGGACTTCTGAAGCGTTTATTTTCCCATGTGGAATGTCTAATTCAAAACTTAATAGGAGGAGCTGGATTAAATTAAAGAACATATTGAGTAGCTACCATGAGAATTGATTTTTATGCGGTTTAGTTCACTAAGGAGTCTTAGCCACTCTTTCTCCAGGATTAGATACCCTGCTGCATATACACAACATATGTGTAATTTTTATTAAGTTATTTGATATTATCATTAAGTATTGCTATGTTCCACTTTTTCTTCAAGGATCTCTAGGAATCTTTGTCGCTTCTTAATTTTATCCTTACATCAAGCCTGACAGGCAGGTTCAGTGTGAGTGGCCCAAAGTCCATCTACACACTTTGTGGCTGAATGGAGAGTTGAACTCTCTTCAGTCCCAGTCTAACCAGTTCTCACAGGCTCTCATAATATTGACCATCTTTGCAGGGTTGTTGGGAGAAGATATTCAAAGTGTACAAACTCTCTAAATGCACTATAGAAATGCTGTTTGTATTATTACTCAACCATTGTGAAATACAAGGGGATTAGATACACACATCTGCAAACTGTGCTGTTTTTCTTCTTTACTCCCTCAAACACCCTAATCCCAGTAAAGTGGGAGATGGGAAGTATATCTCCTACAAATACAGGGCTGGAACCTTTCCTCTCTTTGGATCAGTTCCCATGTCTTCACAAGCTGCACTTAGGTGAAATTCAGCATGCGAAACATGTTCCGCTGGTGCATGCCAATGCTGCAAAAAGTTTCATTTGCAGAATTTTGCAGAATTTTGACTTTTCATGCGCCTGCTAACAGCACGGTGCACGTATACAAGGGAGACCTGTGACTACTAAGTCAGTGGGGCTCCTTAGCCATTGCTACTTTCATTTTGAGTTTTATAAGAGCTAGCCAAGATGTGAACTGCATCTCCAAAATAAGAACTGCTCATGTTTCTGGGGTGGTGAGAGAAATAATGCCAACATGGCCAGTGGTCAGGGATGCTGGGAGCAGTAGTCCAAAACATCTGGAAGGAAAGCACTGGGGAAGGCTGATCTAAGAAAAACTCATGTTGGTGGTCAAAAGCAGCAAGTTCTATGCCTGTTCATTCAGAAGTAATTCAGAGGAACATACTCCCTGGTACAGTACATGCATCAGGATAACAGTCTGTGTAACTACTTCCTAAGCCAGGAGATCCCAGATGTCATGTGGAACTTGTGGAGATTTCCACAATTTCCGCTGCACTATATTGCCCCTCCAGTGCTTCAAGCAGACAAACCAGACAGACATCCACCTTCTTTCTGCCTCACACTCTACCAAGCAAAAATTTAGGGCCTACTACATCTTACAAAATTCCATAGCATCTCTTATTAAAAATGCCACTCTGCCTGCTGGTTCAATATGGACTCCATTTCCCCTTCAGGGATGCTGGATTTCTCAAGCATTCAGGATTACGCATGAAAAAACAGGGCTGCAGCTTCCATGGACCCGGAAGATTATACCACAATTTCATTAATGCCAGTGGAGCAGAGGGAGAGAAAAAAATCACCTCTTGATATACTATTTGTGGCGGGCATCAGAGAGGGATTAGGGTCAAATGATAATATTTATGTTAACCGCAGACTATGTTTATAATGCAAGTAACTGCTGTGTGCTGTACTTTATTCTGTCATCACTTGCGAGGGGTGCTGCATTTGATCCTGCGGCAAAGAGATTATTTAAACCTTGAAGGTAGCAAAAAAGTGGCATCAATGGGGGACTTGAGGTTGATATTCAGGGTTTGACAGGGCACTCCTTTGCATGTTCACTCAGGAGAAAGTGCACTGAGACCTAGTGCATATTTAGGATCATTTAAAATCTGTTTTAGATTATTTCCTCTGGCTCTCTCTCAGTTTTGATTTTGCTTCTATTTTGTACACAAAATAGTTTGCAAATAAGAGGTCTCAAGGAAACCTGGTGACCACTGCCCAGTGGTAAGACATAGACACAAAGTCTAATATATGAAGTGAAGAAGGAGTTAAAGAAGCCACAGGGAAAAGCCAGCGGGGATAGTGGAGGGGAAAGGGTCTTGGACCAGGGAATATCTCAGTGATCCAGCGGTGCTAATGGAGGGGGCAGCTACTTTTCCACAGAAATCTTTGACTAACTTGCGCAGTGGCCACATGTCCTCTTTTATATAAGATAGGCTTCTCTTTAAAGGAATGCAAAACACCACCTTTGGGCTGTTCCATTCTCCAAGAATTCTTGCCCACCCAGGATTAACACTGGGACAGCAGATGGAACTAGCAGGTCTTCAGATCTAGTTGTTTTATTGCAGTGAGAAGCACTGTATGTTGATGTACATCATTATAATTAGTTCCATACTTGCAGCTATACATAAATTAAGGCATGCAATTTTTATGCATATCAGTGCCTTCCTTCGTCCTGTGTTTGGGTGATTAATAAGTGTCCACCTGAGAATATAACAAACTGTGGTATGACACTATTTAGGGAAATGTTGAACATATTTAAAGCAAAATATATTATGCCATAATGATGCCTAAAGCACAGAAGGTAGCAATATGGGGTTTGCTGTTTTCTGGAATGCAAGTTCCTCATCTTACTAGCCCAGCCAACCTTGCCTGCCTTATCCCAGAGCACATTTTGATCTGGATTAAGGCAGGCTTCCTTTTTTAACTGATTACTTAGTCACTTACTTATACTGCAGATGTAAATGTGTCTACTCAGAGGCAAGTTTCATTTCTTTTCATAGGCTTACTCCCAAGAAAGCATGCACAGGACTGCAGTCATAAACAGCTAAAGATTCCAACTGAATGACACATCTAATACACAAGCTAATAATACCTGAAGTTTCAAAGGATTCCAGCATGCTGTTCAAAAATTAATCTGCTTTTATTATGGGCACTTAAATGCTGATGCCATATAACAAAAGAGGGTGACTGACACGCAAAGAGTTTATGGCTGTTCGGAAATTCACCTCAGTGAGTCAAAGTTTGGGGCGTGAACCCTCTCTCTCCCTCAGTCATTTATCCAGTTGAAATCAGGTTTATCTGGAATACGGTGCTCTCTTTTACAATTCATGAATATATTCATCTCACAATAAAAACAGGGCAAAAGAGAAGCGCTGCTCCCTTCAGGCCATATTTTGCTGTTGTAATAAATTAGATCAAAATGACCCACACACGTATAGACAAGTTAATGCCTTTACGTGTGTGGGTCGAAATGTGGGATGTGTCAAACCCTCCGATTCTAGGACAAAAGCGGGGGGGGGGGTGGTTTGGCTACAGGCCTGGGGCAAGGAAGACAAATTCACTCTTGAGCACACAGAGTGAGTCCTGGCTAACCTTGTGCTGCCCAGGAGACAGATCCTGCAGAGATGCACAATAGTTAGCATTTCCCTGTTTTCCGGAGAGCAAATGGCAACCAACCCAAGCAGAAAGGAGCAGTGAAGGGGCAAGTTTCCAGGCTGGTAATATCTGTGGGGCAGGTACTGGGGGACAGGGTTGTTGGCAGAGCTTGACTGACTGCTCTGGGGTGAGGGGGTCATGCAGCCAATATGGCCCAAGACTTCAGGTTCATATGCTGCAGCCAGAGGATGGTATGGAATCTACAGTGCTAATATTTAGGGCAGTTCCACAATGCACTGACTGCTGCAAACCCATGGGAAGACTTCCCATGGGAAGACTGAATTCTCACACTTTATCCTCTGGTTTATTAGACTAAGTCTCAAGATTATATTGCAAAGCATGTGATTTGTAGCACATCTAGGATGTCAGCATGCAGGACACAAGAGACACTCCACATACATATTTGATAATACCAGGAATGGGTCACCTGCACAGTATGGCATTTTTGTTATGGAGTGATACAGTAGAAAAATGGCAGGACTTGTGGAATGAGGAGACACATAAGAATACGAGGGGATGTGTCTGCAATTCATGGGTTAGGATCCTGAATCCATGTCCTTAGGGGATCCTGATTCTTCACTGCTTCCAGCCCAAAAGCATCTGCATGCTATAGCCACCCCTGCCCCAATGTAGTCTGAGGCTGCTAGAACAAATTGGGTTCCTTTAAGCAAAAAAGACTTAGTTCACTGTGGAGGCAGAGCAAGCTGCAGCTTCTGAACTACCTTATCCTTGAAGTACCTAGCAAATATATTGCAGCAAGACCCATAGTCTTTCTTGACCTTGGGACCAGCATGTAATAAGATGTGGACCACCCTAAAGCGCTCTACAGGGTAGCAAACAGAGGGCTGGACGGAGAGGGTGAGATACTTTGTATGGCCTTTTATGTGGTTTGATTGTGTACGATTGGTAGCAACCTGCCAAAGAAGCCTTGTGGCTAACTAATCTGATTATAGGCACCTACTTCTTCATGATAGGACACAATGCCAACCATGATAAGACGCAATGGTCTGCTCTAGGTCTGACCCCTGCTTTTATTGCCATGACATCCAAACCAGGGAGCGCTGTTCTATCATTGGTAGTCCAAGCAGCTTAGAGTCACGTGGCAAGAGTTGCAAAACAAGCAGCC